ATTAATCGATTTCTGTAATAGGACTGTTTTCAGAATATTCTCACAGCTTGCGCACTATCAGTCTCGACTGTACGATATGAATCATGTTTTTCATTGGCATTCTGAGCAAGGTTAGTTAAAGGCATTGAACGAGTGCCTGAATTTAAGCGCTGACCATCTTATATCACAGTTAAAGGCAAACGGCTCAGGTTATTTACGGCAAATAAACAAACATCGCATCTTTTTTCAGAGAAGCTTGCATGAGTACCATATCAAAGGTGCGGGGAGCACATTGGACATGCCCCCCGGAGGGTCATAACAGAATCCACAATAAAGTTTGTCAGTGTCAGTTGCTGGGGTGTGCTTATTCAAGGCCGAAAGAATGAATTCGATGGAGCAAAGAGGAATCTACAAGAAGTGCAATTAATGTAATTGCTATTGAACATCCCCACGAGCAATAAGAAGGTCAAATGACAGGCAGGAGTAATGGGTATGAAAAGCATATGCTTTGACAGTATTTAGACATGAAAGGTGTCTTTCTTTGGCAGCCTACTTTGAAGACATCCTCTTCGACTACTGTGACTGTGCTTCCTGATGCAAACAAAGACATATGGCTCTTGGTATAGCAGTTGGGTCAAGGAAAAGATAAGGTACAACTGACTCCCCCGTCTTATCTTGGAGTGTTATTTTTCATAATATTAAAAACTGCTCTAAAAATCCCAATCACCAGCAAACACAATTTAAATTTGTTCACAGATTATACCCCACTCCCCGGAAATGCCATCTCATGGGCTTAGAGCCTGACCCCTTATGTCACCTCTGTCCCCTTCAGGTCCCTGGTACCTTTCTCCATATGTTCTGGGACTGTTCTGCAGCGGCTGCTCTTTGGGGTTATGTGGCCAGATCGCTCTCTTCAGTTCCTTCCTCTCCCATTCCCCTGTCTCCCGTGGTCCTTCTTCTCCTGGACTTCTCTTCTCTCTCTCTCTCTCTCGCTTCCAGTGGAGGCTCCTGATGTCTGCCTCCTTAGCGGCTAAGTTGTTATTAGCCTCCTGATCGTGCCATTCCCACTGTCTGGAAGTCTCCTGATCGTGCCATTCCCACTGTCTGGAAGTCCACCTTTCTTGATCTGCTTCTGCTGGAACTCTCTGCAACCCGGATTAACAACTCGTCTGGTTCTACAGTCCAGAGCTGGCTCCATGACGTGCAGCTGGTCAAGGACTGGCTGCGGGTCATGTCCTGAGGCCATCTTCCTTGTTCTTCTTTTCTTTGTTTTGTTTTGATTTTTACTTTCCTAATTTTGACATTTCTCACTGATATAAGTCTGTTATTTCTTTTCTCCTCAGTTTTTAGCTGCGTTCTCCGGGCCTGGGTGTGCCGGTGACCATTGTTGGTCTTTTGTTTCTTTTCCTTTGAGGTGTTGTCTCAGGGTGTATTGGGGAGGTGGGGGTGGAGTGTGTTCTGTTCTGTTCCGTCTTGTTTTTGTTAAAAAAATCTCATAAAAAAGGTACAACTGACTTATTATTGTGGATTAATATTTTCATGAAAAAATGTAAAATAAAATACTAATGTCATCTGTGATGGACTGACATCCTATGCAGAGTGTGCCCCAGCCTTGTACCCTGTGCTAACTGGGATAGGCTCCTGGCCCCCTCTGACCCGACCAGGATAAATAGCTGTGAGATTGATGGATGTCAACATTGTCTCCCTGGCTTTGTGTCTGAGGAGACTGCATGCACTCCTCATGTCCATGCAAGTTTTCCTGTGGGTGCTCCAGTTACTTCCAGCAGTGTAAAAACATATGGTTTGCTAAATTGCTTTCTCCAAATTGCCAATCGTGTTTGATTGTTTGTGTGTATGACTGCTCTGCAAAGTATTGGCCTTGAATGGATTAGCATCCATGCCTTCTGCCCTGCATTTGTGGGATAGGCATCAGGTCCACCACAACCTTCTACAGGATGAGCTGCTATGGAATGATGGAGAGATGGTAAGGGTGTTGCAAGCTTTCATTATTTAAAATGCAGAGCACTGAAATACAGCTTAGACATTATTTACATGACTGGTTACCCGATCACTGGAATATGGGAACGTGAAACAATGTTTTCAGATGCCCAGATCTATCACCCTTCAGTTGCCACCTCCTGTGGAATTTCAAGGCATTCCCAGGCCAGCCAAAAGATATAATCTCTCCAGCATGTCTTGGATCTGCCCCAGGGTCTCTTCCTGGTTGGACATGCCTGAAACACCTCCCCAGGGAGCCATCCAAGAGGCATCCTAGGTTGATGCCTGAACCACCTCAACTGGCTCCTTTCGATGCAGAGGAGCAGCGGCTCTACTTTGAGACCCTCCCGAATATCCGAGCTCCTCACTCTATCTCTAAGGCTGAGCCCAGACACCCCGTGGAGGAAACTCATTACTGCCGCCTGTATCCGCTATCTCATTCTTTTGGTCGCTACCCAATGCTTGTGATAAGCAAGAGTAGGTGTTTTCAGATAATTTCCATGAAACTGAAAATGTTGCGATGTCTTGTACTCAGCACCAATTAAGACAATTCTATATGCAGGATAAATGCATTGGATCCATGAATGTGCATGCAAGTTTGCCAGTTTTCAGTGCTCAAGGGCTGCTGGGTTTGCTGGCTTTTGCTCAGTCCTTATTTACTATGCTGAACCAATTATTTGAGTAGTAATTTACTTCATCTGGTGCTTCACGTGTCAGTCACATGCTAATTACAAAGTATTCTCTGTAATCTGTAGAACTCCAGTCCTGGTGGTTTAGGTACCTCGGGATCACTGTCTCTGAGAGTATATCTATATATATAATTATATTTAAATATAATATATCATTCCATAACACTCCATATTCTATACTGCCATAGTATCTGCCAGGATCGATTCCAGTCCAGCCCTGGTCCATGTGTCATTTCTGTATTTGTCCAGCGGGTGTCGCTGGTCATCCCGTCATTTCTCAGGTTGTTAGCTCTTAGTGTTTCACTGTCCCTCTGCCTGCCATGTGGATTAATGGGTTCACACAGTCTTCCCTTTTGTTGCAGGTTCAAGGCTGGCCAGAGACCAGCCTCAACCATGTTTGTATTTTTGACTGTTTTTTTACATTCTTGATCTATGTATTTGTGTTATGGTTCCTTGTTATTCTCTGATTTTACTAATATTTATCCACTGTTTTTTAGCCTCGCTTTCTGTTGAATCTGTTAATTGACCTCACCTGCTCTTCATTGCTCCTAGTTTGTAACAGTCCACACCTACCCCTTGTTAGCCCTGGTTATCAGTTTGTATTTAATTGCCTTCCCTGGCGGGTATTCCATGAAAGTAGCTAAAAAAAAGGCAGACTTTTCCAAAAAAGTCAGACTCAACCTGCAGTACCTCCATCGCTAAACATAGCCTCACGTCGTTCCACGAACGCAGTTCAGTTTTAATCAAGGTTCATTCAAGACAGACTTGCATAGTCTCACTTAGTGCGCACACCCGCGATATTTAAGAAGCCCAAATAAATGGATGAACGATAGATCGACCAAATCAGTCGGAAAGCCTGTAAAACGAGAGCGGTGTTTCTTTCCGCCGCAGAATAAGCGCTGCTGATGGAGCTGTATGAAAAATACAAAGATGTAATCCTTAAAAAAGGATCCATCCATAAACACAGCCAGCGAGTTGGCTTGGCAATGAATTGCAGACAGACTAAATGCATAAGTTACGTAAATGTTACAAGGGCTTTGTACAGTAGCAGGGTGGTAAAGTAGTTTACAGTATGTACGTTATCGCCTTATAATGTAAAAACTGCTGGTTCGTTCCCCATAGCCAGTGGGGGACCTTCTGGGATGATTTTACCTATCATTATTACTGTATAATATTATTTGATCTCCGTAAAATACTTTAAATCACATCAGTGTTAAATGTTCTGCACAAATAACCGTATATGTTGTCCATTATTTTTGGCACGCTTTTATTTTACAGTAAAATACCGTTATAACGGACTTCAAGGGACCTGGCAAAACAGTGCTACACCTCAGCAGACATACTTGTGGTATAGATTATTATATTGTACATGTAGTAATCCAACTATACCTGACCAGATGCGTGACTATTAATAAGCCCAACTACGTACTTACCTGCGCTGGATATCACCGGCACGCCACAGGCCTTGTAGGCGGAACTGCATGTCCATTATAGCCGAACGTACAGAACTACAGCTAGAAGCGGTGTTCTGTCGATATATGCTGCCTTGTCGAAAAATGCTACCGTAGTGCTAATCGATAGCCCTAACCCTAACTCTTACCCTAACCCTAACCCCCCAAAACCCCTAAAACCCTTACCTTAACCCTAACCCTAACCCCTAAAACCTAACCCTAATCCCAAAACGGTGGAACTGCACATGCGCAGAACGGCTCGATAGCACGTCTAAGTAGTATTTTTCGACAGAACAGCGGACCTGGGGACCAAATTGTTTGTCCATTATAAGCGAAATTCCGATATATGCGAGTCCGCTATATCCGATGCTTTTTTTGCATGTTCTTAAAGGCGCACGGCCAGGACCAGCGGACCTCATCCGTTAAAGACGATATTCCGTTAAAAGTGAGTCCACTATAACGGGATTTTACTGTAATTATATCGGAATTAATTGGAATGCTAAGACGTGATTTAATAGGCTTTTATTATATTGATCATGTAGCAATCTCAGCTCTATTCTCTATATTATGGAAGTATCACACGGAGCTGTACTTCAGAAAAGATGGTGTTTATTCTCTGCTTATTCTCTACAGGGTTCCATTTTTTAAATATACGTATATACAACACTCGATCATTCTCCCGCTAACTCAAACAAAATCATGTTATTTTGGTACACCTTACAGATTAACAAAAAAAATCAATCAGATAATGTAAAATATAATGTCAGATGAGGACATATAATTCAACAGATTACATGGCATGAATAGTAAGATCGCGGAATTTCGTCCGACGGAACGATCTTTTGGGAATCTGTTCCCACACGTCGGACGTTCTTTGAGACAACGCTAAACTAAGCGAGACAGTTAGCCTGGTCAGGACCGGTCCGTCTTGTTCGCAGGCCTAAATTACTATGGTAATTCAGCGGGGATTCATTTAAGACACGTTGATGGAACGGAACTCTCACTTAAGTAAGACTGACTTGTCGAAATAACTCAGACTTTCCCTTAAGCCTGCTTCATGGAATACCCCCCTGGTTCTCTTCCTTAGTTGGTTATTGTGACTGTTTGTCCTGTGTTACAGTGTTCAGTTGTCACCTTGTAGTTGTTACTACGTGTTATTCCCCGTGTCATTAGTGTTTTACTCCTTGCTCGGTTCCCACATCTTCCTACTTTTAGTGTTAGTTTCCCTAGGGATTTGTTTCTTCTTTTAATTTTTTCTTTTTAATGGGTACTAGCGATTAGTTTCTATTAGTTCATGTTTTATCTGTCTTGTTTTGATCCCTCGTGGTTCCTTTACATTCTGGTTCTGCATTTGTGTTCTGTTTGTTAATATACATTTTTCAGACATGCTCCTTGATGATGCCCCACCACAACAGTATAAAAACATGGGTGAAGGACACGAGAGACTAATTGATGGTGACTGTAATTGGAAACAGGGTTGGGGTGTGGCACAGCGAGGTAGCATACTTTGCTTTGTGTTGCTGGTTCAAATCCCAGTATTGGTAGAGTGATTTCATCAGTGGGTCCTTTTGCAAGGCCCTTAGCTCCCAGTTGCTCCAGGGACAGTGTGATCCTGAAGAAAAAAAAAGGGACAGGGCAATCTGCTAAATAAAAATAGAAATAATTGCTGGCTTATTTTGTTTACTGTTTCCTTATGCTCTTATTTGAGTCCTGTAAGAATAATTACCATTGACACAAGGGTTTGTATGTTTTGGACGGTCCCTAGAATGCATGAGAGGTGGGCTTTGTGTTTGAGTGACATCGTATGTGGCTCGGCATTATAAGGGGGCAAAATCATTTAACAACATTAGGACAGCCAAGGAATAGTCAGCAAACACAGAAAAGACAAACACTCTTCTGAGTTGTTTTGTCTTTCGCGGGATTTGAATATTTCTGCCATAAAATGAATATTTATCCAAACTGCCGAATCCCCCAGCGTGCCGTTATATATGCAAATTACCTCCTAATCTTCTGGCACAGTGAGGCAGGGGGGTCGCGCAATACATGGAGCATCATCTTCAACGTGACAGTCATTTCCTGTTTGACAGCAGTACCCAACAAAGGCTTGCTGTACAAAGCCAGTTGGATTGAAGGTTGTCAGAAATGCCCCAAGGGTGATTTGACATCAAGGGGTTGAGTCATGAAGCTGGTATTGAAGGCTTTTAGCACTCTTCAGTTTTCCATGTACTTGTTTGAGATCCATATTCAAACTTCCCGAGTGATGTGTACTGCATTGGCCAGGCTCTGTAATTAATCCTTCTGCATTGTGTTCCTTGGTCTGGAACTTCAAAGTTTCCGAAATCATTATGAAAATGACATGTTTTTCAGTCATAGAGAGAATATGTTATAGTGACTTATGACTCTATATAATGAATAGATGGGGTTTACACTAGGTTATCGTCTATTGCAACTGTATTGCAATTCTATCTTGGAAAAAACTAAATTTTACCATGCCATCATTTCTATACTATCATAGAAGAGTCAGAAAAAAATACATATTTTAATTTGTTACTATAATTACATATGATGGCAGGCTTTTTCTATTACCTGACAATCTTCATTCCAATTCTATGAATTGACTTAAATATATTGTTTAAAAACTTTTAAAACCTATTTCAATTTAGCTATTGTTTTATTAAAGGCAAAAGATAAATATTGAACAGAAACACCATTTAAGAGACAAAGAATTATGCTTTGGCAGCTCGGTTCTGAATAAGCAGTGTGGAAGATTGATTGATGGATATATGCATTTGAGTGATTCCAACTGTGTCGTCCAAACATTTACCAGAGCCACACATCCAGCGGAGAGCTTTGACAAGCCTGGAGCCATTCCCAGAATCTACTGTGAAGAGGATGTTAGGCCGTCACAGGACATCCCCTGAACAGTATACACACCCACACACAAAGGGCAACTGTAACACACTGGCCCATCTGAACTGCGTATCCTTTGACTGTGTGAAGACATCAGGAAAGCCAGTGTAAAGCTGCAGGAATAACATGCATTAGGGCAGGAATCAAACCCACAGGGCTGGGGATTTGATGCCGTAGGGCAGTGTTTTCTACTCCTGGTCTTCGGGGACCTACAGACAGTCCCCGGAGCTTGGAGGGAGCAAACACGCGGTCCGACTGTGGGTCCCCAAGGACTGGATTGGGAAACACTGCCAATGAGCTGTTCTGTAATCCACCAATGCACCCTATCAAAAACACGTATTAATATATAGATTCAATGAAAAATTGGGTTGTAGATTTCTATTGGCTAAAAAGATGTTCCAGTCATCAAGATGGCAGATTCCTCATGAACAAGGCACATGGCCATATACTGAAATAATGGGTTTGAACTCGGGCTGGGATAATCGATAATTATCATGATATAATTTAGGTCATTATTTAGTTACTTTGATGTTGCTTAAAATTCTTAGAGTTGCCCCTGAACAGATTCATGACATGATAAACAGCGAAACAGAAAGCTAAAACATAAATCCAATTTTAATAAAGAAATCATATGAAAATACACTTTTGTGTTGTAAGGCATAACACTAGAAAATGCTGGCAGTGCATATTGTTACTAAGTTTTTTCTCCGTCTGTCTCACTGTTCATTGACTAGGGCTGGGCCCTGAGCAGCTCTCCTTAGCACACCCTTGTAACCAAAACTGAAAATGATATCACAATATCTTCAGAGATTTTCACAATATCGATTTTTATCACAATACATAATTAATTTGTAGAGGGACAAAAAGTTAAATATGACAGATGGTTTTGAGTGTTTCTGATCAGGATGACCATATTGTTTTACTGATATTTTTGAAGCAGTTGACAGGTATACTGAGAAATTACACCAACTTCAGACTCACATTTTGATGGAATTTGTGCAATAGTGGTGCCTTTCAACTATTAATTATTCAAGTAAATAAGTGTTTAAACTGTATGACAACACTGAAATTAAAATGATATAAATGTTCATAATACCAATGTGATTATTTAATCAATATATTGCCCAACCCCAGTTTAAACCCCCACCCCCCCAAATTTGTTACCAGGGATTATAATCACTAGTTTGAACCCTCCTTGAAGTCTAGCACCCCATGTTGAAATAAATGTACGGCACACCCTGCCCCCCCTCCACCCCGGAAATTTATTTCTGGCCGCAGGCCTGCCATGAACATAAATATAAATCAGCAGAATCTCTGCCACCATGAGAAAAGATCAAGACACCTGCAACCATCTTTCCCATCCTTTGTGAGTAAGAAAAAAATCCTTTGATGTTCCTCTCAAACCTTTATCACATTAAAGCTTGTTCTTGTATCTTGTGAGCAAATGATTTGCAGCCCTATTCTTCTTCATCACCATTATGAGACAACCAAAATCACTCTCATGTCATTCATAAAAGATTTTACAATGCCGAGGAAATTACCAACATCTTTAAGATGCTGATAATCGATACATGATTGCAATTCATTCTATTTTATCAACCTTACTCAAAGAAAAGTGTTTTTAATCCAATAATTGTTATGCACAAAGCCTTTGTGTATAAAATTCAGCTGATAAAACCGTCAGCTAAATTAATAAAACATGAACTTTAAATATTTGAATTGTAGTGTGCATGACAATTTTTTGGAGAATAAAATATAGATATCTGCATATAATTTGAACCAATATGCTTAGAAAGCTGTTTCCTTTTTTGCTTAAGGTGAACATTAAACTAAGGAACAAAATACAGAGACTCAGGCCGAGATGATGCAGTTCATGGTACAAAACCTACGCAGTTTTGTGTGGCAGTACTTCTGGGGCTGCACACTGTAAAATAGCATATTCCAGTCAAAGCAATATGTTCCAGCTTTGTCTATTAAAGAACATCTCTGTTTACTCCAGTCATTGTGCAAAGTCTAGACACACTGTCAATGACACCTTCAGTATCTGAGAATGAGTCTTTATGTTTAATAAAGTCATCGATTGTTACATCAGTGCTGCACATTCATGTATACTGCCGCTGGTCTGAAAATACTGGAGAATGATCCAATGCCAATAATAAATTAAAAGTGTTTTTGATTAACAATGTGGACCAGGGACACATCAGCAAATCAAGTTTAAAAGCACAAAACAGCCTAAGAACTTTGTAGTATGGAAATCAAATAATTAGTCAGACCTGATGAACATTGACCCTTAAAAAGATAATCACAGCCTTGGTTTGAGGATCAATACCATCATAGGTCCCAAGCATGTACAGACGGCGAGCTATTCCAGTTCTTTATGACCAGTTCAGCCAGTTGCTGAATGGACGTTTAACCCACATCAACAGGTACCCCTTGTGATACGTGCCTTCACTTCTGCTAACTTAAGGTTCCTAGTAACTGTTAAGACACAGTAAGTCATAGTAAAAGCACACAGAGTAATGAGCAAATAGGTACCAAATGTGATCGAACAATTGTCTCCAGTTCTCCCCAAAGCAAGCCTGGGATATTCATACATATCTGACACTGCCTATGGCTGTAGGTGCGTTGCATACTCAGGAACTTTACAGTGTGTTTCTATTAAGTAAAACTCACAACTGTGCTGATTAGTTACTGTATGGATGTGATTATAATTTTTTAATGTCGGGATTATTCCTTAGGATTACTTAGTGATGTCATATTTATGTACCTGTTTCCTAGGATTAGGTCAACCTCCAAGGCAAGAATAACTCCACCAGTGATGGATTCCATCTGTTTCTGGAAGCAGAGGCTGCATATGTCATTTCGCTTCTGCCCTGTTGCATGCTGGCTTGTTGTACTCACGCTGCTCTGTCAAGGGGAAAAAATCATCAGTCAAATTCAGCCACCCACCTGCTCATTCACCCTGCCTCTTGTCTGGATATATAACGTCAGGAGTTTGTCCAAATGGATTTTTTTTACAGAACACTTGCAGCACATTGCCAATGACATTTCATGTGAAAATAGTGAATTATGAAATAAAGCAGCCAGTCATGACAGTAGCTCAGGCACAGAAATTATCCTTCTAGCAAAAATTAATTGCTCAGTTTCCGATATCTTGGAAATGCATTTTCCACTGAACAAATATGGAGTCTCCCTGTATGGTGATGGACAGCTTGAATTTAAATAGGCTGTGAAAGCTAATGTTAGAAACTTTCGGAAAAATGTGCATTTTTAAGGGAAATATGTATATTTCTTTGCCAGTGCACCATTAATAAACATTGAGAAGAAGTTTACACAAGTATAAAGCTTTATGCCACCATACGTCTAATTGTGCATCATGCCAGTAATTTATATGTTTTCATGTAGTTTGTTTTTGTTATTTATGATGTTTTAATATTTGATAAATGACCTAGGCAAAAAGGCAATATGTCCTGAGTGAAAATTTTACTCAATTAAAAGTAAAAGTATTCAGCAAGAATCACACTTGAGTAAAAGTAAAAAAGTACCGCATTAAAATTGTACTTGAGTATTAAAAAAGTAAAAGTAAAAGCAAGAATGAAAACTAGAGATTCTTGTTTACGTTTTTAATCTCTAAAAACATAAAGTGAATGAACCACATACAAGGTTTTATTCTGCTTTAGAACTGTTTAGATTTAATCATTTAATTATACGACAAGGCACACCTAATGCAAATATGCAACATGCTACTCAAAGGATGCATTTCATCTTGTATGAATCCTTACTAATACCGCTAAAAGAAAAGAATTCGCTAAGGTACGGCCACAGGTGCTCTTGACCCTGTGGCTGATTTTGGACTGCGTTTGCTACTTAATCATGTTCTTCCTCCATTTTCTTCCACTGATTGAATGTTATGATTTATCTAATTTCCAAGTCAAGGTGCTGTGCATTGTGGTGATTGATGCGATATGACGTCACTTCCAAAGGACCAATGAACATGTCTGACTAATTTCATAGAATGTGAAAACGAATCTCATTGGCACAATGAATAACATTTTAATTAAACTGGAATTCAGCGCAATTCAATTGGTTTGTTAGCAAGGGAAAATAGAATGAAGTGCACTCCAAAAATTTGTATTTTAAAATGATTTACTTTTTGACTGTAAATAAAATTGTAAGGAGTAAAAAGTACTTTTTTTTCTTTAAAAATGTAATTAAGTAAAAGTAAAAGTATTCATTTTTAATTGTACTCAAGTAAAGTAAAAATCCCCAAAAATAATACTTAAGTACAGTAATCAAGTAAAATTACTCAAGTACTTTACACCTCTGGTGCAAAACAAAGTGCAAAGGCAGTACACAGTACACTGTAAACAAGTAAACAGGGTGCAAATAAGTTAAAAAGAATACAAACAGAATATCCAGGAAAACAGAATATTAGAATATTAAAGAAATTAATTGACAAACAAATTAACAACAACAATAATATTAATAAATTAGCAATAGCAATTTGTGCACCGGACTGTCGCTGTTAGAAAGATGGGGTGCATCCTGACGGGTTTCGGCTGGGGGCGGAGGGTGGAGCGAGACACACCTGGAGGTAGTGCTGTAGTGTCTGATGGCAGCAGGCAGGAAGAACCCCAGCCGCACCCTTGTAGCCAGAAATGAAAGTTGTTGGTATAAGTCAGTGATGGGAGAAGCTTGGGGACTACAGCAGCCTGCGAACCCTGAGCACTTTGCCGGAGGTGTTTGGCACCAGCCACCCTCCAATCCCAGCTTGGAGCTGAATCACAGGGACTGGAGAAAAATGCTGCATATCTGAGGCAATCACAGGTCAATCTACAGTGTCAATTCAATGGAACACATTCAAGAGTTTTCAGACCAAATGGCCAATTAAAAAAAAAGGGGAAGAGCAGATGGGGAGAACTGTCATTTTGTAGCGGGTGGGTGGCAGGAGCGGGTGGCGTACTGTGAGCCACTGGAAGGGACACGGGGGTGGGGGCAGATCCCTGCTTTTCACACCAGTCACTCTTAGCCGGTCACGGAGGCAGAGGGCGTAATCTGCTCCCCCCGTTCACGTCCCTGCCTACTCTCTGTTCACACTGCACATCAACTGCCATTGTGTAGGAGGCCTGTGCGCTGACAGGACCGTCCTCACCACAGACGCCCAGTAACTGACATGCACCTGAAAGGCACAGACAAGCAGCTGAGGAGTGCCTATGCTGATTAGCCCTCTCTTCGCAGAACAAATGCATTCTGCATGAAAAGGGTCCCAGTCAGGTTCCAAATGACAAGGCTCAGGTACAACTTAGACTGACTGTGGAGTTCCATTGGGTCTTCATTATTAAGAACATTATTCCATTCTCTACTACTTAAATTGGCACTAGCAGACTTGCAAGTATGTGAAAATTAAACTACAGAAGCCAGTGTTCTAGGCTGGCAAACTATTATATTTAAAGTCATTTATCTGGACAGAAAACATTTATTTGCTTTAAAAATAACTAATATTAAAACAAATACAAATAAACAGTAATACAATAAAATCAGAATTTCTTCTATTCTACAAAAAGCTATTGATGTCTTGTTCAATGGCTTAAAAAGCATTGCTCTGGTTCCCAAACCTCTCGACAGGGGCGCTCCAACCATTACGTGTATTTGTTAAATTTCAAAACCAGCTCACTTAATTCATTAAATTGATAAGCTAATTAACTTCATGACGTATTCATTAACCAAACAAGGTGTGCTGGTGGTCGAACTCAACAAACAGGCTCCATGGGATGCAAATCCTGAAGTGATCTGAGAAGAGGTCTTGAAGTCGCTAAGCTGACACATTTTGACAAACATGAAAGCATAGTCTTATGCTTGTATGAATACAGTTTTCTTTGGCGTCAAAGGGCTTGCACAGTTCTGTAATTTTGTCAAATGATTTGCATCATGCGTCGGTTCTCCCCATGCATGCACATGCAAGTGAACGAGAAAGAGATAGGGGAAGAAAGAATGGGAAGCGTTCGGCAGAGGGTGCGCTCCCTTTCTCCGACTGCGTGATACTGCAGTGTACGTGTGTGTGAGATCTGCCTTGCTCGGGAACTAAGTCTGGTATTCTAAAAAAAAAAAAATTTAAATTAACAAACAAGATAGGAGCGTAATATTGTGGTTACGAGAATGCGGTCCCGGGGGTGTAAGATTATAAATTACAGAGGATTACTTGCCAATTCGTCCAGTACTACCCTTTTGTGACCGGGCGGGCGGAATCGGAGAAGACAGCCCGGGGCCGGGATGCGCGGGCTGCAAACTTAATGAAGCTTTACGCCCTTTCATATCAGGAGGCGAGCACCTCCAGAAAATGGTGAAGTCTCGCTTAAGGAGACCGTCCCCGCCGCGCTCCTGACAACGTTTGCAGGGACTGCATATGTGTCTCTTTCGTTTGGCAAGCCTTTATCTAATTGTGGGTGGACAGCACAGAGCCGTCGTTACTCTGAATTTGTCCTCATATCGCAATGCACTTATCTTTCCTAGCTCAGCGCATTTGGGGGGATCCTTTAAAAATGAGATGGACTGCAAGACGAGGATAGGCTACTAATGCACGGAAATTATTTTCAAAAGAAGAAAGGAATATTACCCAAAATTCAAAACGATATAAAGTTTGCGTGTGGGGAGAGGAGAAAGAAAAACGTAGGTTCTTTTTTCAGCCGTAATTACACGAATTCATACATGGTTCTTTTTACGGGAAATACAAGATGCATCTGTACGAATGTTAACTTTTTATACTTTTCCCCCAACTGGTAAGAGAAACTACCATATTTCTCTATTTCTCTTTTATACCATTATTTCCTTCCTATGAAGACAGTCGTGATAGGCTTTCAAGGAGTGGAGTTTGACGATACAGAGCTCCGAAGCATCATATATATCTTAGCACTTTTTGCGTTATCTATAGGATAAAATCATCGCCGTTAAACACATCTGATAGAAATTTTGCTGCATTTCCTTGCGTCTCGAACTGAAAGCTTTCCTAAGAATGGGTCCCTAAAGCAACAAGCGACGCCGGAGAATGTGACGCCGGGATGAGGTGCGCGCAGTTTGGCTGAAGATCTCTCCACTTATTTTTTGTATATCCTTTCCAGCTATTTGATAACAGCAATAAGTAGCTATTCCAATGACCTCGGATCGAAAACATTTGCATTGCTTATAACGATACCTAAGCACCTTTGTGTCCCGAGGTTTTAGTAAGTGGCTGCGAAGAAAGGACTGTGGTGATGGCCATGACCAGTTTAAGAATTAACCGGAGAGCGTTTTGGGTGACGGCGACGCTCTTAGGATTGACACTTTCGCAGGAAATTTATGCTCCCCATTCAATCAGAGTAGAAGGGGATTTGACCTTGGGGGGACTTTTTCCCGTGCACACCCGGGGTTTAAACGGGCTGCCTTGCGGCGATTTAAAGAAGGAGAACGGCATCCTGAGACTGGAGGCTATGATGTACGCGTTGGACCAGATTAACAGCGATGACGAGATTTTGCCCAATATCACCCTAGGTGCGCGAGTGTTAGACACGTGTTCGAGGGACACCTATGCCCTGGAGCAGTCCCTTACTTTCGTGCAGGCGCTTATACAAAAGGACACCTCGGATGTGAGGTGCACCAACGGTGAGCCTCCAGTGTTTGTCAAGCCCGAGAAAGTGGTGGGAGTGATCGGCGCCGCGTCCAGCTCCGTGTCCATCATGGTAGCAAACATTTTGCGTCTCTTTCAGGTAGGTGCTGATTACGACTAGGCTGCCCCTGGGTGCAGTTGTCTTCTGAAATGTCATCCACACACTTGATTAATAGGGTTTGTGGGAGATATGAAGTAAATTGAAGTTGTGTCCTGAACAGTTAAATCAAGGAATGTGTTTAACACTTACATATTATGCCATATTGTTTTACACACCGAGAGGACAGCCCAGATCCCCGATTTCTTGTTGTGGATAGCCTTCCCCTCTTTCCTGACAGGTGCTCCTATTTATCGCCCCATGTAAAAAGGCAGTCCAAAGATAAAATAAGCTCAGAAAGGTTTTGCACTTGATTTGTAATATCCAACGCAACCCTTTATGACATCAGTGTCTTTCTAACCGTGTGAATAATTTAAACTCAGTTTAAATAAAATCCATATACGGTTTCGGGGCAACGTTTCCTGTTAAAGCAGGAAATGGCAGTATTATCTTACATAGTTTTTTTTTGTGCCGTTATGATGTATTTCAGGTAATATGTCGGGAGTTGTTAAATATGCATGCCTTCAGTTATGTTGGCTTAGGCTGATTGAACCTTACTTGAGCATGACGTGTTTCTCCGCCTTAAACTGAAAGCATATCCCCCCATTTTCACACGCCCCCACACTGCTTTCAGTGACTATCCAGTATTTCGCCGGAGTCATGCAAAAGTCATCATCCGGCCTCCAAATTTAATTTGGCAAAAATCGAAGATTGACTTTTTAAAAACAAAGATTCCCAGTGATTTATATTAAATGTTTTCGATCTGTTGGATTGATGCAAACTACTAGAAACGTTCATCTACGGTTTAGAGGGAGCCGTCAATGAATCGTGAGGGAAGTCCTCTGTTTTAACTACTTAAGGTGAAGCACATATGTAGGACGCAAAAAATATGAATTCTGAAACAAACATAATTACTATAAACAATATAAATGCAATCTTTAAGCAAGAAACTACGTTTTATTTGTTTAATCACCATGTTACTATATATTCATGTGTTTAACAGATACTGTAGGAGGAGTTCTATTACAGTAAACTTAACGAAAACAAATCCTTCTGGTTTTCTCTCAACAGTACTTAGTATAATATTACAATATTTAATATCAGGGGATTGGGCTGTCAATATGCAAATTACCCAAGTGATCTCATATCTGGGCTTACTGAGTAGTCATTAAAGATGTATCATTTTTATGATGAGATTTTTCATATTCCTGATCACATCATTGCGGGCCCTTACAATGACTGCATGGCCAGGTGTTACTGTCACGTTACTTGAGCTGGGTTTTGCGTATTCAAACCCTAGTGAAGAATCAAGTTTTCAACTCTGTCTGCTTCAACAGGCAGCTTTACTAGATTGCTTAGTCAGTCAATTAAGGGGATGCATTTTAAACTGAAAAGTTTACACGTTAAGATCCTTAAACACCTCTGCACTGAAACTGGGTATATCACACCAGCTGCAGCAAACAGGCAGCTGTGTAATCGCATTGCGTGTAGTGCCCCATACGAGGATATCTGCTGAGCAAATAAATGGAGTAATTTCTTAAAGTCTGCTCTCCTCGGGCACATCTAGAAGTGTGGAGAAATAAATACTTTCTCCCGCTCGCTATGGCGCGCGAGTATGAATGGGTTCCTGTGGGGTTAAACCTTTTAGCAGTTGGCATGTAAGCGAGGTGAACAGCCTGGGTTTTCGGAGGGGTCCCTGGATTCCCTCCAGTTCCGGTGCTGTCCTCAGAGAGCCATGTGGACTAGTCTGTCACTCATATGTTTCTTCCAGCATCTGCGCCAGTCAAACTCGTGATTAACTACTTTCATAAGCAGATGCTATTTAATACTAGCAAAGTGCTTAATGTGCTTTTAGCTATAATAGAGAAAGAGCGCCAACATCAACAAGAGTGTCCCCCCCCCCCCCCCCCCCCAACTGCACACACACCCACCTCTCTGCTTCCAAGTCTAATTTTTTCTGATGCTGGCAAACAGTTCCATTAATCCCAGTCCTTAAGGATTCAGCGATGTTTCTTATTTCCTGAGTTTTTCCATTTTTTTTAGGGCAATTGTTCCAATTGTTCCCGAATGCTTGGGAGACGAAGGCAGGCATGCAGAGATAGATGGGGCAGAGCATCCGAATGGGTTGTAGGATGCGTTGCGAGGTGGTTGCTGGCCCACGTGTGTGATTGTGCTGCTTCCCACACTTTCGAGTAATTCCCCTGCAGGGAGATCCCCCCGTCCTGCAGATTCCTGGTTCCTTCTAAGTCTTTCCGTTTGCATGAGAAGGTGCCACCTATCTTCAGCTGCATTATGATGCATACAAACCATAACTTGACAGTCACTGCCCGGAATTAGCTGAAAAATAAGCCTATGGTTTTCTTTTCAGGTTTCATGCATTTTCTGTTCGCTTATCCAGTAGGGGGTCACTGCACTGAGGTATCCCAGGTAGCATCGGGTGCTGGGTGGGATTCCAGTGCATCCCAGGGTGCACACACAGTGGGCAGGTTTGAGACAACCATTTGCTGAATGGTATGTTTTTGGACTAGGGGAAAAAAAACAATGGAAATCCTCCGAACATGTAAACCTCTCGCAGGGAGCAGGGATGTCATTTAAATGAGCCACACTGGCAGTGGGAGGCAGCCATGATTCCCACGGAGCCGCTGTGCTGCCTGTCAGCTTCCATGCCACTTTTAAAAGCATCCTGCCTGTATGTTAAAAATGCTACTTTTTTTTACATAATACATATCTTTCTTCTCCTTTTAAAATTGTCAGTTGAAACATTGTTTTCCAAAACTAATTTTCAAAGTATTTGTCCAAAACTGAAAAACATTAATGGGAAAAGGCATGAATTAATGCAAATGAACACAAATGACAGAAAAATTAGTACATATGAATTTCAACAAGTAGTTATAAATCCTCTCTAAAACAGAATATGGATTAGTTGAATATCAAAAAGGCTCAGAATAATAATAATAATAATATAACCACACATAAAAAAAATTGGCTCCAAATAAGAACAACTGACACTGCAGTTTTTTTCTCATAATACATTCCTTTTCATGAAATGCCAGGTTTGCATTCTGTGAAATACAGGGATTCAGTTCGCTAAGCTACACAAGGTATTAATTGCTTTCAGTCACTGTTTTTAACCTTTAACGAGATGATGTCTGGTAATAAAGGCAGGTATTTATCCACAGTTAAAGAAAGATGAAAATGAAGTGTTTTGCTATCCATTAAAAGAACCTGGTGATTGTGTCAGAAGGACCCCAGGAACTGCTACGCCTGATCAAATCTCCTGGATCACAGTGGGTGGCGGAACAGACCCCAGTTTGTGCAGTGTTTGCTAGATAAGCAGGCTCTCCATTTTGCATGGAAAACAAGCGCAATCTTCATAATTACCATCGCGAGATGAATAGGAAATGCTTTCATCCGCTTTACTCATTATAAGGTGTAGCCAAAACACATTTGTAGACATTTATTTTTTGGGAAAACACTTGCTATCAGTTACCTCTCTGGGATTTTATGAGCAAAAAAAATACAGATTTAAAAAAAAAAAAAAAATCTATGACATTGTAGTGGCTAGTTTGTGCAGTACCAGTTTATGAGAAAGGTTTGTGATAACTCCTTTTGGGGGGTTCAGTTACTCGGTTCAGCTTGTTTGGAAAGATATCACAAGGTAGTCATTTTGCTTGCATTTTTAAAAAATATGCATACATGATGTTTGTCTCTCTTTTCTGATTTTATTAATCTGCGAGTTGTTCAAACATGCTTTAAGTTGCTTTGCTTGTGTCATCTGATGCTTTGGAAAGTGACATCAAAGAGTTTTTTTAAATTCTGTGTCATGTTCTCGTATTAAAAAAAAAAAAGAGAAATACTGTTCTGTGGCTCTCAAAATTGGGGCTAGAATTGGCAGCTGGGAATGCCGGCCTTTTCTTAGGGTTTAGCAGCTTTCAAGTTTTCGGCTTGACCAAAGAAAGATCTGCTGCTAATGAGTTGCCTGAGTTTTTGGATCTCTGTTGCATTCAGAAAACAAAACGGGACGTAGCTGGTGACTAGACCCTGTTATACATTTCATATGTTCTGTGCAGTCCTGCGTTGCCTCATCTCTCCTATCAGTATGCCCTTTGGGACTGCCACTGGGCCAGAGTGGATTGCACTGTTAGCATCTCTCTCCGTCTTCAAAGACTTAAGATTTAGCTCGTGTAGAAAGGGTATTATTACATAAGCCTCCACGAGGATGCCCGATGTCAGGCAGATGTACTTTTGGTTGTAAGCAGTAATAGGGATCTTTACGGTTACTTTAACTGTCTATACTTGCGACATGCTGAGAGTTCGCACCCAGACCGCTCACTGAGAGTGCCCTCCTGGGAGTCATCATGAAAGTAATTTTGGATTATCCGATCAAATGAAGTGTGGTTCTCGGGTTAAATAGTTTTGTAGAACCTCGCTTTCTAATCAAATCTGTCCAATAGAAGCGGGCGTTTCGGTATTATGGAGCACCTTGGATACATCTGTACTTCTGTGTGCAGTGAAGCACGGACGATGTGATCCTTGTATTCCTATGGTATCTATCGGTCTGTGATGTGATGCTTTTTGTTGCATAAAACCACAAGTCATATAATTTTCATCAAGACTCCCTAAAAAATGTCTGTGTTTCTCCCAGAATGAGGGCTGAATGACTATACACACTTAGCCATGGAACTTATCGAGCCATATCTGGCTCCAGTGCCAGAATGATTTTACCCTATTGATCTGCAGCAATAATCTGATTAGTTCCATTGCCTGGGGTTTTTAGCTCATATCTGATCTTATCTCTCCTGAAAAGTTTACACGGTATAATCTCAGATTATGGGTTTGGTTTCCGAGTAAATCTTTGACTAGTTTTCATCTAAAACCCTTTGTGAAAGAACATTGTGAAAGAACATGTAGGAGTTAGCTATATTTTGGCCATGGACATTTTATTTATTCTGCATGGACCTCGCTGTTCAGTCGCATGTTGGATGCGAATGGTTTGAACCCAT